GACCTTTGGATTTTCTCAATTAATGCTCCATGTATGACTGTATAATAAAGAGACGATAGGCAAGAGTATTATTTAAATTTGGGTCTGACCACAGGACAGCACAGAAGCTTCCTTATCTAAACGTCATTGACACCGCGGAAAACACGCCTGATTCACGAAAGTTTTTGTTGGCCTTTGAGGTTATTTCTCCTGTATGCTCTGCCCATTGGAGATCACGGGAATCAGTGATACTTAGGTCTTAAGAGTAAGGTACACACTCGGGCGATGTCCTTCTTAAAGATGTGAACGAATTTGCATTTTGCGGCGTTAAAAGCTATGCAGCTTGGTGAATTTACCAGTTTCCGAGGAGTTACCAGCAAGAGTGACAGCATATTTGCGGGTGAAAGTAGATTCTATGATAATTACCAGAGCCAGTGCGAAGATACCGTCATGAAGATAACCATATCTGCCGAATTTACAGGAATACTTTTTTTGTAAGCGGCAGTGTGCAACATTGGCAATACCCAAAGTAATTTGACAATTAATTTCTTAGCAGTACGATAACTTTCCCTTTCATTTTGCGATTATTATACAGGATTTACAGCAGTGTTTACAACTCTTGGTAAGAGTGGAAATACAGGTCCAGTCCAAATTGGAAGTCACTACGCACGTCAGGATCACGACGGGCAAGTTACATTGTTCAGCGGTATTCAACAATGGACTGTGCCACACACTGGCGAATACAGAATAGAAGCAATAGGAGCCTCAGGGGGGTACGGTGAGGACAGTATCATTAAGAATGGTGGAAGAGGGGCACGAATGATTGGAAACTTTATTTTGACCAAAGATGAGATCATTCATATACTTGTTGGTCAAGAGAAGAAAGGAGAGCGCAACTTAAAAACTGCTAGAGGTGGTGGAGGTACATTTATTGTGAGACGAACAAACACGCCTTTAATCATAGCTGGAGGTGGAGGGGGAATCAAAAATATGTCAGAACAACATCCGGGATGTGATGCTTCCCAAGACACCACTGCAAATGCAGGGAACAACTCGCCACTGGGATCAGGGGGAATAGAAGGACGAGGAGGACTTACTAATGGTGTGAATTCTGGTTGGTGGAGAATTTGCTTTTTATAAATACTGAGAAATTCGTTGCATTCTACTGCCATGCTTCACTTTCTCTAACTTAATGATAGAGTTAGTCGCTGATGATCATATTTGAAGGATGTATAAAAACCGTAATCATCAAAATTCCCAATGTTAATTTTAGTTATTAATTAAGATTTTCTTTGATGATTCC